GGAAAACTGGACAGATACATGCAAAAGAATGAAATTAGAACACTCCCTAACACCATACAGAAAAATAAACTCAAAATGGATTAGAGACCTAAATGTAAGACTGGACACTGTAAAACTGTTAGTGGAAAACATAGGAAGAACACTCTCTGACATAAATCACAGCAAGATCTTTTTTGATCCACCTCCTAGCGTAATGGAAATAAAAACAAAAATAAACAAATGGGACCTAAAGAAACTTCAAAGCTTTTGCACAGCAAAGGAAACCATAAACAAGACGAAAAGACAACCCTCAGAATGGGAGAAAATATTTGCAAACGCATCAACAGACAAAGGATTTATCTCCAAAATATATAAACAGCTCATGCAGCTCAATATTAAAAAAGCAAATAACCCAATCCAAAAATGGGCAGAAGACGTAGATAGATATTTCTCCAAAGAAGATATACAGATGGCCAAGAAGCACATGAAAAGCTGCTCAACATCACTAATTATTAGAGAAATGCAAATCAAAACTACAGTGAGGTATCACCTCACACCAGTTAGAATGGGCATCATCAGAAATCTACAAAGAAGAAATGCTGGAGAGGGTGTGGAGAAAAGGGAACCCTCTTGCACTGTTGGTGGGAATGTAAATTGATACAGCCACTATGGAGAACAGTATGGAGGGTCCTTAAAAAACTAAAAATAGAATTACCATACGATCCAGCAATCCCACTACTGGGCGTATACCCAGAGAAAACTATAATTCAAAAAGACACATGAACCCCAATGTTCATTGCAGCACTATTTCCAATAGCCAGGTCATGGAAGCAACCTAAATGCCTATCGACAGATGAATCGATAAAGAAGATGTGGTACATATATGTGATGGAATATTACTCAGCCATAAAAAGGAACGAAATTGGGTCATTTGTTGAGACATGGATGGATCTAGAGACTGTCATACAGAGTGAAGTAAGTCAGAAAGAGAAAAACAAACATCATATATTAATGCATGTATGTGGAACCTAGAAAAATGGTACAGATGAACAGGTTTGCAGGGCAGAAGTTGAGACACAGATGTAGAGAACAAACATATGGACACCAAGGGGGGAAAGCAGCAGGGGGTGGGGGTGGGGGTGTGATGAATTGGGCGATTGGGATTGAGATGTATACACTGATGTGTGTAAAAGTGATGACTAATAAGAAACCTGCTATATAAACAAACAAGCAAACAAACAACTCCAATTGCCTTCTTTGTAGAAACAGGCAAGCTGATCCTAAAATGTATACGGAAATATGAGTGACTCAGAACAGCCAAAACAATCTTAAAACAGAAGAATGAAATTGAAGGACTCATACTTTCCAATTTCAAACTTACTACAAAGTTAAAATAATCAAGACAATGTGGTGCTGGCATAAGGATCGACATATAGATGAATGGAACAGAACAAAGAACCCAGAAATAAACCTGTGTATCTACGCTCAACTGACTTTCAGTTAAGTGTGCCAAGACCATTCAATGGGGAAAGAATAATCTTTTCAACAAGCGGTGGTGCTAGGACCACTGGATATCCGCATGTAAAAGAATGAAGTTTGACCCCTACCTTACAGCATATACCAAAATTAACTCCAAACGGATAAAGAAGAAAACATGCCTAAATCTTTGTGACTATGGAATAGGCAATAGTTTAACTCTTACAACTCAACAATAAAAAGGAAATAACCCAATTTTAAAGTGGGTAAAGAATCTGAATAGCCACTTCTCCGAGGAAGGTATACAAATGGTCAATACACACATGAAAAGATGCTCACATCTTTTCCATTAGGGACGTGCAAATCAATACCACAATGAGACCACTTCATACCAACTAGTTAGAATCAAAAAGAAGGGGAAATGTTGTGTTAGTGAGGATATGCAGAAATTGGAACCCTTATACACTGCAGATAGGAATGTGGAATGGTGCCTTCACTATGGAAAACAGTTTGGCAGTTCCTCAAAAAGTTATACAAGAAAGTTACCTTATGACCCAGTAATTCTACTCCTAGATACAGACCCGGAAGAACTGAGAATTATGTTCAACGCAAAAACTTGTACACAAATGTTCACAGCAGCATTATTCATAATAGCTAAAAATGAATAAACTTAAATGTCTATCAGTGAATGAATAAAAATGTGGTATATCCCTACCGTGGAATATTACTCACCTATAAGGATCAAGCACTGACACGTACTACAACATGGAAGAACCTTAAAAACATCATGCCAAGTGCATTTCCAGACTCAAAGGCCACATATTACATAACTCCATTTGTATGAAATTCTCAAAACAGGCAAATCCATACAAACAAAAGATTAGCCTTTGCCAGGGGCTGTGGGGAGTAGGAATGGGGAGTGACTGGTAAATAGTGAGCCTCTGGCTATAAATGACACTCTAGGGACAAGTGGCACAACATGAATGGGGTCTGAGGATTAGATGGTGGTAATGTCACAATGATAACTTCCTGGTTTTGATGCCTGTATTGAGTTATGCAGGAGAACATGCTTGTTTGTAGGAAATTCAGGGGTAATGGGACATCCTATCTGCAACTGTCTCTCAAATGGTTCCAGAAAAAGAGCTATGGAAACCACTTAGTTTACATAGATGATCTTGGCCAAAAATCCACATGATCTATCACATTCATTACCTTCACCAACAAACCGAACTGTCGTAAAGCATCAATTTTGTTTAATTCTGGGGTTAAATCTGGCCACGCTCCGAATAACTGACACTCATCTCTATGTTCACTTATGTCACAAGACTGTTACGGAAGCAAGTGAGTCAGCACTTTAAGAATACCTAAAGTGCTATCTAGAGTTCATCTTCCATAGCTTTCATCCACCAATTATTGTTCTTCCAGCTCAATTCACAAAGAGTATTTTAGTGACAGCACAAGTAGAAACTGAAAAAAAAGTAAGACTATGTAAATTTAATCTTAAATGCCTAGATTTCTGAGCATTGGGAGGGAGAAACTAAAACTAAAAAAAGTAGGGATTACAAATTCTAATGCTGGCTTTACCAGACACTTGTTATGACCAGAAGAAGAGCACTATATGTGTATCAAATGAGAAGAAAAAATATGGGATCTAGTAATTCAGTAATTGCTGATATTAGCAAAGAATAAGTATTGCAACTTAGGAATGGCTGCATGTCTGTTTCTTTCCACAGTTACTTAAATACTTTAAGAAATGGAAAGAAAGTACCTGAAACGTAACATTGGCACACTTCTACCTCTTTTCCCTCACAACCCCTCAAAAAACAGGAGGCTGTGTGATTTCCCCCAAAATCATTTATTCTTTTCAGCTGGTTTTAAGACTTCAACTCCATCATTCTAGAGATGAGAGTTTAATGATATTCAACTCACCAGTTAACCAAGCCTTTATCAAACTAAGTAGCAGAGGAGAATTCAGTTCAGAAAATGGTCTTGTGGGCTGTTACCACATGCTGGGTAACAGAGGTTAACTAAGACTCATTCCCTGCCCTTAGGGGGTTTCCTCTAATAGACAAGAAATAAGGTTCAAAAGAAGAATGAAAGACATGCCTCCTATACTAAATCTATTAAGCAATCAGAACTCTGAAACTATGGAAAACAGCTTTTCAAAATTTTTCACGTTTATGGGTGCACACATATCCAGATTTTTTAAAAACAGAAAAATTCAATCATCCTGTTTTGTAACCCTTTTTATTTTTTCATCATTCATGTCAATTAGTATACTTAAAAGTAACTGTTTTTAATGAGTTGCAGGTATTCCACTGTAAGGATGTATCAAAATTTACCTAACCAATACCCTGTAGCTAAATGCTCATGCATGTTTTTTTTTTTTAATTGGGGATCAGGGGAAATCAAGAAAACAGCTGCAGCTAACACTATTAACAGCTGTACATTTAGCTAAGATGCTCTGTAAAACCATCCTAGGAGTTCATCTCCAAGACCTGTGGGTTTATAAAGTATCTTAACAGAGGTATTCCAGTTCATTTATCAATCATACCAAACGCCTCCCCCCCACCGAAAACTCACTCCAAAAGGAACTTGAGAACTCTTATTACGCAATATATTTGTCCCTATGGGTCGGGTCCTAAACACTGCAATTACTGTCACTAAACACACACACACACCATCACAAACTTCCAGAAAACAAGCCTTAAGGTCTTGATATCCTTCTCCCTGCTCCCTCCCTCTCCTGGCTACTGTGAATGCCCTACTCTAGGCCCTAATATTACTTTGATCCCCGAAGTGTGTGCACTGACTCTCCCTGACTTCGTTCTCTGCCCACTCCAAGCAATCCTACACAATATTCAGATGTAAAACTTCCTGAAGAAAAATATGACCTCCCTGCCTGAAAAATCCCTAATCCCAATTATTAGAGAATAGTGCCAATTTATTATTAACATTTTTGCTATTCAGTTTGGCCACGAATCCACCTTCCAATCTTAACTACTACTCTCTTGCAAATACCCTCCAGTCAAATCCTAGTAAAGTACTCAATTCTTTGAGAAGCCTCCAACTTCCTGCCCTATTACATATGCTGTTCTCTCATCTGAAATGCACACGTCAACGAACATCTAGATAATCAGAGATCTGGAAGGGATACCCTAGTCTACTCACCTTAATTTGCAAACTAGGAACTTCTGTCACTCATTCACCCAAGAGCCCAGAAACCTCCCATCCCCGCATCCTCAAGACACAGTGGTAACTCTAGTACACCCAAGACCAATCCACCGGTTGAGATTTCCAAGTCTCATCTGCAAAGATCACGGTCTAGCAATTTGGCTTAGGGCCAGAACTCATTTTTTTTTTTTTTAAAAAACAAGCACTTCAGGTTATTCTTAAGCAAGGGGTCAAAGCTTCAGGCCACAATAAGAAAAGCACAGGAAAAAAGAAGACACTGTGTATATGTATAGCCTTGTAGCACTTAGCACATCATCTGACAATTTTCATTTCTGTCCTCATTTTAGAGCCTCCAAAAAACAGATACTCACTGCTACTTGTGCCGAATCCATAAATCTCAGTCCAAAATAGTCGCTTTCAATAAGGTCCAAGTGGTACATAATCTGATCAAACAGCTCTTGTCCTTTGGCTTTTTTCTGAAATGGCAAGAAGATAAATCAGTAAGTGACTTATAAGATCAACAAGTCTGAACTGAAGATGGTTTTAATTACACAAGATCTTGCCGGTTATGGGCAAGATACCATGGTTTTCCAATAGGCCATTTAAGGCCAAAAGAGAATTTGTGATCTATTATGTGCTTTGCTGGATAGTGCCACTTCCTATCAACCAACAAATATTACTGTGTACCTAACACTGTGTGTAAGAAGAAACTCTTGCTTGCCAATTTTTAGGGTCCCTACTTTAAAGGAGCTTTATAATAACTGGAAAGAGAAAACAAGAAATCTTAGAACACTTAAGCACAAACCATGTGGAACTAACTATATCTGCCAGAGAAGAGAGAGTCACTGACACCAGAATCATCAGTGAAGGCCTGAAGATCGGTCTTAAACCGGAAAGAATGCAGGGTAGGAAATAGCAAAAGCAGAAATGGAAGGTGGGAGGGAAAACAGACAGCAAGAAAACTACTGATAAACTCAGGAGACACCAAACTGGAGGGAGTCAGGGTGATAACAAAGAAGCTTGCGCAGAAAAAGCAGGTCGCAGAGTGTGCTCTCAGGGCCCCTGAGGGATCCCCAGATGAAAGATCCACACGGTCCCAAGATTCTCCTCACATACCCTCAGTCAAAACAACATACTGCAACAGACTGAATGCAGGAGCAGATGAGAGAATCTAAGTACTGGTCTATTAAATCAAGCATTAAAGAGACTGGCAAAAGTGCATAAAATAATGCTACTCTTCTCACTAAATTCTTTTGTTGTTTAGTAAGAGTTATTTTTCATAAAAATGTTACTTCTGTTAACCTATAAGGGGTATATTATTGCTATTTTTAAATTAACCAGTAAAGTTTTTCTTTAATTTTTCAGGTTTTTTTGGGGGGTCACACCCCACGGCATGTGGGATCTCAATCCCCTGACCAGGGATCAAACCCGCGCCCCCTGCAATGGAAGCGCGAAGTCTTAACCACTGGACCACCAGGGAAGTCCCTAATTTTTCTGTTTTAATTTCTAATATGGTAACTATCCATAAATATAACCTTTTAAGTAAAAGCACTGTTGAGATCCTCAATTTTCATGTATGTTGTATCCATGCCCCTCCCCCTAGTTTTAAATTATTTAGAATATTTCCCATTAAAAAAAATGTAGATTTTTTTATTGAATAATCAATTTCTGCCTTTTAACTGACAACTTGATTATTTCAACTTATCCACAGCTTTTTCTGCAGTTTCTACATCCTTTCTATTTGGTAAACTGTCACCCCTTTATGAAGACAGAACTCTACCAGGGCCTCATGCCCCCGGCCTCCCCTCCACCCAATCCTCATCAGGTTTTATGGATACACTTCCTCTATTTTTCTTCTCTTTGGTCATGGCTAATTTTTTTTAAGACAACAACTTTACTTTGGTATTCAATCATTCTTTACATGACTTACACATGTACATTACACATACCTAGCAGCATCTGCTAGATTTCTCTACTCATTTGAGTTTTTCCTCAAGAAATGTTTCCCATGTGGGACTTTATATGTAATCTTCTATGTTTGAGAATATTTTAATCATGCTCTTATACTTGAATGACAGTTGGCTGGATATAAAATTCAAGGTTCAAAGTTACTTTCTGTCAATACTCTATTACTCAAAATACATTACTCTATCACTCAAAATATATTACTCTATCGTCCTCCTACAGTCTGTATTGTCACTGAAAAGTGTGATGTCAATTTCAGCTTCCCTCCCCCTACCCGCCCGCCGCACTGTGCAGCACGTGTGAGATCTTAGGGATCAAACCTGTGCCCCCTGCAGTGGAAGCTCAGAGTCTTAACCACTGGACCACCAGGGAAGTCCCTCATTCCTTTTTAAAGCTGAATAATATTCCACGGTACGTATACAGTCGGCCCTCCATACGGCAGGTTCCGTACCCTTGGATTCTGGTATCTGCAGCAGGTTCTGGAACCAATCCCCCATAGACCCCGAGGGACGACTGCGGGCCATTTTGTTTACTGACTCATCTGTTGATGAGCACTGGGCTGTTTCCCCCTGTTGGCTACTGTGAATAATACTGCTGTGAACAGTGGTTTACAAGTACCTGAGTCCCTGCTCTCCATTCTTTTGCGTATATACTTAGGAGTAGAAATACTGTAATTCCACGTTTAACTTTTTGAGAAACCGCCAAACAGTTTTCTGTAGTACCTGCACCATTTTACATTCCCACCAGCAATGTACAGGGTTCCACTTTTTCCACATCCTCACCAACACTTGTTATTTTCTGGATTTTCTTTTTTTGTGTTGGCAATAGCCAATCTAACGGGTGTAAAAGGGTATCTCATGTGGTTCTGATTTGCATTTCCCTAATGCCTACTGATGTTAAGCATACTTTCATGCACTTACTGGCCATTTGCTTATCTTCTTTGGAGAAATATTTATTCAAGTCCTTTTCCTATTTTTGATTTGACTCGCTTTTTTGTTGTTGAGTTGTAGAAGTTCTTTATATATTCTCCATATTAATCCATTATCAGATACACAATTTGCAAATATTTTCTCCCATTCTGTGGGTTGTCTTTTTACTCTCTTGATAGTGAGTGTCCTTTAATGCACAGAAGTTTTTAATTTTGATGAAGTCCAACTTATGTATTTTTTTTTGTGCTGCCTACATTTTATTGTCATATCCAAAAAAACATTGCCAGATCTAATGTCATGAAGATCTTCCCCTATGTTTTCTAAGAGTTTCATAGCTTTAGCTCTCACACTTAAAATTTTGTCATTCTGATTCTACACCCACTCTGATGTGTCCGTGTCTTCCTCACAACCAAGCAATTAACTCAGTTCTCCAACAAGACTGACTGCGTGTCAGACAAACTCAATTCTCACCTATCTCCCTGAAGAGAGCATCAGACTCCACCAGCTAAGAGCTCAGTCCCACAAGACTGCTCCCACTTCCGATGCCAATCGCAGGTCCAGATGGCTACTGGCTACCGACTTCCCATGACCCCCTCCTTGGCTTCAATTAACTTGCTAGAACAGTTCACAGAACTCAGGAAATCAGTTTACTCACTAGATTAACAGTTTATTACAAAGGATTATCAGCGGATACAAATTATCAGCCAGATGAGGAGATACACAGGGTGAGGTCCCAAACACAAGAGCTTCTGTCCCAGTGGAGTTTGGGACCCAGCACGTGGAAGTGTTCTGGTTCACCAACCCAGAAGTTCTCCAAATCTGTCCTTCTGGGTCTTTATGGAGGCCTCATTAAATAGGCATGACCAATTAAATCACTGGCCACTGGGGACTGAACTCAATCTCTGGCCCCTCTTCCCTCCCAGCTGGGGTGGGGCCGGGGGTGCCAGCTTCCAACCTCCTAATCACATGGTGAGTCGCCCCCGTCAACCAACCCCTATCAGTGGGTTACCTAGGGGCTTCGTTAACATAACAACAACACTTTTAGGGCTCTCCTGACTTAGAAAATTCCAAGGGCTTTAGGAGCTCTGTGCCAGAAACAGGACAAGGATCAAATATATGTTTATTATAAATCACAATACCACAGTCGTCTTTGATCCATTTTGAGTTAATGTTTGTATATGGTGTAACATAACAATCCAACTTCATTCTTTTGCATTCTTTTGCATTCTTTTCCCAGCACTATCTGTTGAAAAGACTCTTCCCTCATTGAATGGTGTTAGCACCTCTGCAGAAGATCATCTGACCATGTATGTATTCGAAGGTTTATTTCTAGACTTGCCATTCTGTTCCATTGGTCTGCATGTCTGTTTGTATGCTAGAACCACACTGTTTTGATTACTATAGCTTGGTGATAAGTTTTCAAATCAGGACATGCAAACTCAACCTTTTCCTTCTTTTTCAAGACTGTTCTGACTATTTGGAGTCCCATGAGATTCCATATGTATTTTAGGATGGTCTGTCCTATGCTATGCATGCAAAAAATGTTCTTGGAATTTTGGTATGGAGTGCACTGAATCTACAGATCACTTTGGGTAGTACTGTCCTCTTAACAATATTAATCTTTCAATCCATGAACATGGGCTATCTTTTTTTTAGATATTCTTTCATTTCAGTAACGTTTTGTAGTTTTCAGTGTACATGTTTTTTGCCTCCTTGGTTAAACTTATTCCTAAGTATTTTATTCTCCTTGATGCTACAGTAAAGGAATTATTATCTTAATTTCATTTTTGGATTGCTCACTACTAGTGTATAGATGTGCACTTGATTCTTGTTGGTTGATCTTGTATCCTGCAATGTTTCTGAATTCTTTTATTAGCTCTAATAGTTTTACTGTGGAATCTTTACTGTGGAATCTTTCCTACTTATAAGACCAAGTCATCTTGAACAGAAGTAATTTTACTTCTTCCCTTAGAATTTGGATGCCTATCATTTCTTTTTTCTGCCTAACTGCTCTGGCTAGAACTTCCAATACTATGTTGAATAAAAGTGCTGAAAGCAGGCATCCTTGTCTTGCTCCTAATCTTAGGGGAATGGAGACTTAACTTCCATTTCTTAACTTTTCTCTTATGCTTCCTATTTTGTACTTTCTTTCCTCCTATGAGAAGAGTTCCTAAATATGATCTTCCCACTCACTAATTTGTCCTTTATTTTAAATTTGTCTCCTTATTTTGTTATATTCATTAGGATGAATAAGCTTCTCTGGATTATGTGTAACAACAGAAAGAGCTCAACCTCCATTTAGCTCTGAGAAATTAGTAGGGGTGTAGATGAGTCCTAGAGGAGAGGCCCAAGAATCAGAAAACCATAGTCAATCACTTCCCATTCAACAAACAACTTATCAGGTCTGTGATTCACTCCCAATCCAAAGGGAAAGGGAAAGGAATACTAGATACATTCCTTTCATTATAATGTATCACTCCCTGAGAGTTTGATGGAAGAGGGGTAGGGAATTTAGGTAAAGAAACTTTAAGGGACTTCCCTGGCGATCCAGTGGATAAGACTTTGCCTTCCAATGCAGGGGG